GATTGATGTTATACCTTAACACTACAAGAAAACATGTGATATTCCAACATATGCTTCCAATAATCGTATTTTGTTGAAATTCCTAACCGATATTCTATAAAAGTTGAATATTTTTTTTTGTAGTGCTTTTATTATTTGTTCTACAAAGATTGATTTTCTAGCATTTTTCTTTATTTTTATTGACTTATAAAAGTAAATTATAAATCAAGATTAAATGATTATAAATCATTAATTTTTTTAGACTACTATTGGTTGATAATTATTAAAATATTTAAGATTAAAAACAATATTAAAATGATTAAAAATGATTGATTTCTTAATATGTGTTAAAACTCCAAAACATCAAACTATTAGGAACAGATGAAGTACTTGATAGTCGACCAGGGATAAAAACCCGACCCGAATTTTCCGACCTGAACAAACCGAAGAAACGCAATTCAGTTAAGCTTCGGGTAGTATAGATATTACGATCGGAATGGTTTTAATTATTAATTCGGTTTTCTATTTGGTCGGTTCGGTTCGGGTATTCCGATCGGTTCCCGAACATTACCGAACATTTAACCTAACTATAAAAGCCTAAATTTTTTTACCCTAATCTCATTTGATTTCTCTTTCACTTCTCGACCCACACTCTCGATTTGCGACTGGTATCAGTCATTCTTCCTTGTTCATCTTCCGATTTGGTATAAGGTTAGTTCGAAATTCTCTACTCTCTCTGTTTAAGTGTCGATTACCTAAATTTTTCGATTTGGGAATTAGGGTTTCGGACTTTGGGTTTGGGGTTTTTAGCAATCGATGTTATTGCACAATTTCTCAGTTCCGGTTGGGTTTGAAAATTCGAAATCTAGGGTTTGAGTCTCTAAAACTCAAACCCTAGATTTCGAATCTCAAACCCAACCATATGAGTCTAGCTGTCTAGGTATTCTGCAATTGGGTCTGGTTTCAGACAATTGGGTTTGGTTTTATATATGCATTTAGGTATGGTCATTGATCTTTATAATGTCTCCTGTGTAGATGTCGGAAACTGAACATAAGAACGAAGCTTTTTTGGGTGAGGAAGCTGATGGTACATAATCTTCTGTGGGAAGGAAAAGGGCTATGACAGAGCGATCAAGCCGTGATGTTCCAAAACCGAAGAAAGCGAAGAAAAAGCAAGCTCATAGAGGTGAAGTTTGGCAGTATTTTGTTGAGAAGGAAGGTATTGCAGGTGTAGCTAATTGTCGGTGTTGTGCCCAACAGATTGGCTGCGATACTAAGTTACATGGGACAAGTTTTACAAGGCATATCAAGAGCTTGGTATATCAAGAGCTTGGTACTCATAAGGTGTTTGTTGGTGATATGAGGGGTGTAGTGACTATAATTCTATATGATAAAGCTCTGTTTAGGAGGTCAGTGAATGAGATACTTGTTTTGTCTGAGTTACCATTTGCATTTGTGGAATCTAAAGACTTTAGGAGATTCTGTGAAAATATGCTTCCATTGTACACACGGTTCACTATAGGAAGATAGTAACTGAAGACATCTATAAAATGTTTCTTAGTGAGAAAGCTAAATTGAAGAGTTTGTTTGGCTATGATAAGTAGAGAGTGTCTTTGACGACTGATATTTGGGTTGCTCCTACAACTGCTTGCAGCTACATGGTGATCACTGCTCATTAGATTGATAGGGGCTAGGATTTGCAGAAAAGGATTATTAGCTTCAAGCCTGTAACAGATCATATAGGGGACACCATTGCTGAGCATCTTAGAGCATTTCTAGAGGAATGGGGAATTGAAAAGGTATTCACTATCACAGTAAATTATGCTAAAGGGGATGACAAAGCAATTAGGTTGTTCATAGATGCTTGTAGGTTGTTGGGGCCTAATGCATTAGTCAGAGACGGTTCATTAATCCATATGCGTTGCTGTGCACATATACTAAACTTGATAGTCAGAGATGGTCTAGCAAAGGTAAATGAAAGCATTGTAGGCATTAGGAATACAATTAGGTATGTAAGATCACCAGGTGATAGGTTGAAATCATTTCAGTTGAGGGTTGAGACATGTAAGTGTGATAGAGGAAGCTTTTCTTTAGACTGTGTGACTAGATAGAACATCACATATCTCATGCTAACAAATGCTTTGAAATTTAGAGTTACATTTGAGAAGTTACTCACAGAAGACAAACTCTATAATGACTACTTCCAGGAATCAGAAGAAAAGAATGGAGTCAGTGGACCAGAGAGTGGACCAAAGGGTGCAAAGAAGAGGGGTGGACCTCCTACTTCAAATGGCTGGGATGATTTGCAAAGGTTAGTGAAGTTATTAAAGATCTTTTTCAACTACACCTTGGCTTTTTTAGCCATTAAGACAGTTAATTCTTCAATCTCTTACTATGAGATAGTACTTACTGAAAGAAGTTTGATTGGTTTGAGCATTAATGATGATCAAGAGTTGCGGCTTGAAGCAATGGATATGAGGGCCAAACTTGAGAAGTATTGGGATGGACTGATCAATATGAATCCACTAGTAATCATTGCTAGTGTGTTTGAACCAGGAATAAGATGCGATTTGCTAATATCTGCTTTGACAAGGTTTATGGGAAGGATAGTTTGGAGAGTGACCATCTGAAAAGCTCCATTAAGAAACTGATGAAGAACTTGTTTGAAGAATATGTGCAGAGATTATGTAACAACTCTCAAGCTAAAAGTACAGGAAACAAGAGTGGAGATGGGGATGATTTGGCTCAGCTTTTTAAGGAGGATGGTGAATTAGAAAGTAAGGATTCATTGTATGATGAGCTGGCTACAGAGACAGTGAATGATGTAGCGACCAGTGAGCTTGACATTTACTTGTTGGAAAAGCATGTGCCAAGGCAAAAAAATAGATTGGGTATGGAGTATGATGTCTTATCATGGTGGAGACGCAACAACCATAAGTTTCCAGTCTTGTCAGAATTTGTGAAAGATATCCTTGCTATTCAAGTGTCTTCTGTGGCTTCAGAGTCGGCATTCAGTACAAGTGGAAGGATTTTGGATCCTTTCCGGAGTTGTCTATCCCCTCACATGGTTGAATCTCTCATTTGCACACAACAATGGTTGAGGAATACCATTCATGCAGAGAAGCTTGCAAATTTGGTTCAAATGGTAGAAGAATTAGATTTCCATGAGTCCTTGGGTACTCAAGTTTATTGTTTCTCAAAGTCTTTCTATGATTTACTTCATATCTTATTGACTTACTTCGTTATTTTCAATTGTAGGGTCCAAAACAGTGGCTGATGATGCACGCATGCCCTGATCACTTGAAATTGTCTATCTTTTTTGGACCATCACCATGTAATCAGTACCCAAACTTGTTCTCTCTCTCTCTCTCTCTCTCTCTCTCTCTCTCTCTCTCTCTCTCTCTCTCTCTCTCTCTCTCTCTCTCTCTCTCTCTCTCTCTCTCTCTCTCGTTTACTCTCTACTCTCTATTCTGATATAATGTCTTTTGAACTTATGAATGTTGTTTACTTCTTTTGGTAATGCCTTATGGATGTTGTTTGATCAATGATGATGATGAGTGATGACTGATGAATGATGATGATATATTTCTTATGATTATTGTTTGTTTGATTGCATATTGATGATGATAATAGCATGTAGATATAAGTAGAATTAGTGATTATTGCAAGTAGTTAATAGAATAATTGATGATATACTTGTTTTTCGGTTTTAATCGGTTGAGTTTTGAAAAATCGAAATAACCCGTTTCCAAACCGACCGAACCGAAATTGATAAAGGTATTTTCGAACACATTTTAAAATTACAAATCAACGCAAAACCCGAACAAACCGACCCGACCTGATCCGAAAACCCGAACTCGCAGGCCTACTTGATACTATCACTATCACATATATTATCATTTAAGTTCAAGCATTAGTTTGGCCATATTGTTTTTCATTTGATAATTATTGTACTATGGAATACTATCTCTGTTTTTATTTGTGTGTTTTAGAAAAATGTTTATTTTAAAATAATTGATGTTTTTGATTTTAATGTAAAATTAAGTAGTTTTTTTATTAATATTAACTATTTATATTTTTCAAGATTTTTATTATTGGTCGAATCGTCTTTATAGCTAATAAATAATATTTTAGTTTAAAAATAAATAAAAATTTAATGAATTTTTTAATTAGTGTGTACAAGTTTTAAACATCCGATACTTAGAGCATGTTTATTGGTGAACTAATGTGGGTATCAGCCCATTTTTAATATTTAAAAAATTGATATTGGGCTGAGAATGAGTTGATTCGTCTCACTGAAGTGAGTCTTCTGAACCGACTCATCTCACTACATGTCACTTGCTGAGTGGGGAAAAAAAAATTGAGGGAAAATTAACTAATCATCTCGTCTTCTCTCTTCTCCTCCTTTCTCTCTCTCAGACGACGAAGACGAGGACATCATTCAGCCGCAGCTCACTTGCCGAGATCACCGTCATCGTCTTCGTCGTCTTCCTCATCGGGACATGCTGTTGCGGATGTATCATCTGGTAATTGCTACTGTAAAATCAAATTCAAGAATTTTCCACGCCAGATCGTTTCTGTTCCCGTTCTGTTTCGAATCGAATCGGAATCCGAACCGGAGACAGAGTCTTGGTGTTGCTCCGGTTACGTTTCAACCGTCGCTGCTTGCTTCAGTCTAAACAAGTCTCAGATTGAAAATTTATAAAATTATTTTTTTTATTTTATTGATACCCAATTTTGTTTTACCACTAAACATACAAATTTAACAAAAATCTTATTGAGTATCATTGATTAAACAACTAATTAATTTAATACTAAAAAAAGGCTTATGATACTCATTGGGGTTTATTGATAAACATGCTCTTATATAAAAAAACAAAAAATAATATACATAAATAATAGATAGACATATTATCTGAAACCTTAATATTCTTTGTAAAATATTATTTTGGTTCTCACTAAAAAAAATATTATTTTTTATAAGAAAAAAAGAAAAAAAAAAAGTAGATGCAAAGTAGGTCCAGTAATGGAACCCACCACGAAAATCTTTTGCAGAGAACTCTGTTTTTCTCTCCTTCCTCTGTCACTGTGATGAGTGACGACCATCTCCACTCTTTCTTCTCTCACCTCTGTCGAAGCTTTGATTTATAAATTATAGTGTGAAAAGAATTTCTGCTTCAAACCCTTAATTTCTGGGAGATTTCTTGTTCATGAGCTATTTCTTTTCCTTAATTCGTATTGATAAAGATTTCACCTTTCAACCCCTTTACATTTTATGGTTCCAATGTTTGAGCTAGCTCATGAGTCATGATGATGATTCTTTTATTTTCCATAAGGATTTTTAACGTTTGAGTTTTGGGTTTTTCCAAGCTTGTGATTTGGTTTTTGAGTTGAGAGAGACATTAGTTTTTCTTTTTTTTTAGTTTCCTTGTGGGGAATAATAAACATGGAAGAAGTTGAAGCTGCAAACAAAGCAGCAGTGGAAAGCTGTCATGGAGTATTGAATCTCTTATCACAACAAACCAATGATTCCAAATCCATAATGGTTGAAACAAGAGAAGCAGTTTCCAAGTTCAAGAGAGTCTCCTCTCTTTTAGCTAGAGGGTTAGGTCAAAGGAAGATTAAGAAACTCAACAACTACAAGTTTAGCTCTTCTTTGTTGCCTCAACACATGTTTTTGGAGAGTCCCATTTGCAGTAATAATGCTATAAGTGGTAGTATTCCAGTTCTAGCACCAAAGCCTCTTCAGATTGTACCAGCAAGTCATCCTCCATTGATGTTGTTTAACCAGAAAATGTGTGTTGACAAGTCCTTTCTCGAGCTAAAGCCACCGTCTTTTCGAGCTGTTGATCCAAAACCTTATCAGGTTATTCATAACCATCAGCAAGGAGTGTACTCTAGGAGCAAAAGTGGTTTAAATCTAAAGTTTGATGGGTCTGGTGGTGTTAGTTGTTATTCACCAAGTATGTCAAATGGATCAAGATCGTTTGTTTCATCTCTTAGTATGGATGGTAGTGTGACAGATTACGATATGAACTCGTTTCATTTAATCGGATTACCTCAAGGATCCGATCATATATCGCAACATTCTAGGAGGACTAGTTGCTCTGGTAGTTTGAAATGTGGAAGTAGAAGCAAATGTCATTGTTCCAAGAAAAGGTGTTTGTTTGTTGGTTTTGTTCTTCTTTGAGAGAAAAGTGTCCTAAGAGATTGTTTGATTCGATGTTTTGGTGTTTGTTTACAGGAAACTGAAGGTGAAACGAACAATCAGAGTACCGGCAATCAGTAACAGGATTGCGGATATACCTCCTGATGAGTATTCGTGGAGGAAGTATGGACAGAAGCCGATAAAGGGTTCTCCACATCCTAGGTACATAAACATTACAAGAAGAAAACATTGGACTTGTTCTTATGTTTGGTTTGTAATTTGCTTCTTGTTTTTGTTGTTTGCAGGGGATACTATAAATGTAGCAGTGTGCGCGGTTGTCCAGCAAGGAAGCATGTTGAGCGATGTGTAGATGAAACTTCGATGTTAATTGTGACTTATGAAGGCGAGCATAACCATTCAAGATTACTCTCTTCTCAGTCAGCTCATACCTGATTGATTAAAACCAGCCTTGTAGCTACGATCTTTCTCTTGCATAACAATTTGGCTCCAGCTTTATCTACATAGAAGTTTAGTTATATATGCATAATGTAGAAGCTTTTTGGTTTGCATCAGATGTTGATTCAATAGGTTTGGCTTTGTTGAGAAACTGTAAACTGATGTAGTTCTCAGAATCTTATATGATTTGGTTCCTCTGTTTCACTCGAATGTATGTTAGTACACAAAGCTAATCTTGAAAACTACATCAGCCACCTACCAAGCCTGATTCAACATTGACAAATTAAGGAAAGCTTGCAAGAAAAACAAACAGACCAATCGAAAAACTGTGTGTTGCGCGGAAAGAACCAGGCTTTGGTGGCAAAGACGCGATCACCACAATTCGCGGTGGAGACTTGGAGAAGATCGTCTGAGGAACTTGCAAGAACAGAGCAAAGATATATACAAACAGAGGAGAAGAAAAAGAAAAAGCTCAAGCTTTACGAGTTCAAATCAATAGGTGTAATTGATCCTACGTCTCGGCCTGATCAGAATCTAACGATTCACTATCTTGGAAACTTTTACAACAGAGAATTCCACAATCCGGAGGTATTTTTAAAGATGATCTCAAATATCAAAGATTACAACATTACTAATAATAAACCGGAGTTTTTTTTTTTTTTTTTTTTTTTGAATGTAATATTAAATTAAATTCAAAAGTTACATTCATCATTTGTTTGAAGATAAACTCAATTTAAAAGAGCTTATCAATTTAACTTCTAGACTTGAACCAAAGTTGAAAACCGGAGTTCTGAGTTCTTTTTCGGGGTTGAAGAAAACAAAGAAGACAAGAATTGTAGAAGTAGTCATGGTATAAAAGCTAGTGAGATCACAATTACTATATATTCTCTTTAAATCTAAAATCACAACAAACGTATTATTAGTTCGTACAAATCAACGACCGACATAATCCATGCAAACTTTAGATGCAAGATTCCACAACACAGTTAAAATATACAGTTTCAGATTTAAACGTTACGTAAAATTAAAACCGAAATCAAGTAGAGACAGACGTGAAAAACAAAAAAAAAAAAAAAACAATCAATAATCGTTGGAGGAGAACGATTGTGAAACCGAACAAATACAGGAGATAAAGTTTGGTTTTCTCCGGAATAGTAAAATTAGTTTATGTAAACATCTTCCTCCATGGAATCTTCTTGAGAGGAATCATTCACATTCACAGCTTTCAACCCTATTCTACCACGCTTTGGCGGTTCTGTGACTTCGAATTCTCTTCACCAGACGAGGTAATCGCATCGCTACAGCTCTTTCTCCTGGACAGATTGAGTTTCGGCGACTTAGGACGCGTCAAAGGAAACTACATAAAGAGCATTTCATAAGTTTGCTTGTCACACAAGAAAAATGTGACATAATCTTGAATCCTAACAAATATGAGAAATTTTCTTGGAAACCATTTAATACCTTCTTAAGCTCTGGTTTCACGGGAGGTCCTTGGTAATAGAAGTCGGGAACGGGATTAGCCTTAAACTTAAGGTTTTTTCGAAGCTGTTTAATGGCTGCTTCTTGTTCTTCCTGCAAAATTGTGTTCCCAATTTAGATTTTCAGGATACATTTTCTTGATTTAGTAACTAAAAAGATTCTTGCCTTTTGCCTTTGTTCAAGCTCGATCCTTTCGGCTTCAAGTGCTTGGTGTTTCTCTTCAAGCTTTTGATAATACTAAAACCACAAAAAGACTTCAAAATCAGTGGACAGAACAGAATACACCTAACCTATCATAGATTATTAGTTTCTTGCTGGCGCGGAAGCTACCGCAACTAAAAGAAAATGAATGAAGGAAGAAGGCATTAGAAAGACTACCGAGGCATTCTTTATGTAAACACAACTGATGTTACCTCTTTGCGTTTCTCAGCTCGCTGAGCACTCCTAAATCGGGGAGCGGTTCCATGAGTTACTTTAGACGTAGCATTCTTCACCGAAGAAGCGACAGAACAATCATCTTGTTCATCCAAATGTTTCTTCTTCAAATCATTCTGATACAATCAAGAACAAAAAGAATCAAAAAACCACTTTCAAATCTCATTCAACTACCATCTCTCTCTCTTTATAAAATACCTCTCTGATTACATTAGAAGATTTATGATTCAGAGAGAGAGAATTCTCCTCAGTGCATTCTTTCACCTCATAATCTTCTTCCTCTGCAGCTATCTTGGGAGCCACGTGAACCCTTTCATTAGAAGCATTGGTGCTCACCGACTCAACAACTTCTCTTCTCATTCCAACTACTGCAATTTTTTACCAAACAAGATTCTTCATTAAAATTATGCACAAAATCCATTTCAATTAACTCAAAATTCACCATAATAGAAAACAAGATCCTTAAACTAAACCCATTTCAATTAACTCGAAATGCTAAAGGTATCATCAATCTTTTTTTCTCAAATCTCTTTTAGTTCATATTTATAAAAGAACAGGGATTTGGTTGATGTTTATTTGGATAATAAAACCCTTTGAAAAACATTTTCCTCCAACAAAATACAAAAAACAGGGGAAAAACAAAAATTGAAACAAAGAACTGTGAGATAGTTTTCTTACAGATCTTGTCTGATTGAACAATTATTCTTGATAAGCTTACTCTTTCCGATCTGTCGTGAGGTTTTTTTTCAGACAAGAACAAAAGATTTTTCCTTTATCTCTCTCTGTCTCTCTCAAGAAAATAAAGATAGGTTCTGTTTTTGTGCGATGACTGTTTTGGAAGTGTTTGGTTTGTTAAGTTGTTGGATATTTATCAGCTCTGTTTTTTTCTCTTCTGTTTTTAATTATTTCTTTTAACAGCTTCTGTCTATTTCTAGTAACTCCTTTTTCGAAAATATAAACTCTTCATCTCGGGAATGAATGATATATTCCGAAAACAAGATTGTATATTTAAAATAAGTTGTTGTTATTTAACCCCAAAAAAATAGTTGTTGAAGAGTTGAATTTCAGTCAAACAGAACTATATAACTTTATATCTTCGACGACTACAATTCTCTATAATATTTTAATTTATAAGTGTCGACAAAATTGAATAGAAATATTGTCGTGTAGAATAAAACATCCTCGGATAACACGTGAATCATCTTTTGCTTTTGTCGTGCTTTTAAATTCGCGTCGTCAATGTTGACGACGTTAGTTAACGCCGACACACGGGAAAGAAAGAACACCCAACAACCAAACTCTTATGATCTCGTATCTATCTTTGGGGTCATCTTGTCTCAAGCTTTTGAAAATTTCTACAACTTTTTGGGCACTTTTTGTTATGAAATGTTTTACAATTCTTTTTAGCGTTGAATTGTGGCTTGATATTTGAGGGTTTTGTAACACCACGATCTCAGGTGTCTCTTGTTGGGCTTCGTCGAGGCTTAAAGTCCTAACTTGAGGCCCAAGTAAAAAAAACTTTAAAATAGTCTAAGCCGTCGTGTATATTACAGTGTGTGTTTGTCCATGAAGAAACAAAACTGGTCAGAACTGAGAACCCTAAGCTAAAGCCGAAGCCTCAAGCCTTTGTTAATGAAAAAGCAGATTTGGGGTAGTACGTCTTCGTTTAAGCGATGAGATAGTGTATATGCAAAAAGAAAAAGAAAAGAGTGTGTCCGTGTCGTGTGTGTATATATGCTCACAAGAAAACCCTAACATGTTCAAGATAAGTGGTCTTATAATCTCCCAAAGCAAATTGACTTAATATATAAAAAGCCCACGAGAATATGTCCTTTTTGGAGGAAAAGTTTTCTCTTTACCTTCAATTTTTTTTTTTTTTTTCTCTTTATCTCTTGTTTGAGTATGCCCAAATTTGTCTTCCAATCTTCCCTTTGTCAATAAGTTGTCCAACTCAAGCTCATCATCAAAACTTCAATCACTTAACACAAATTCCTAGCAAAACATGGTGATATTGGAGTGGCTAAGTCATAGTTTAGACCATCTTCAAACTCTCCCGTAGTTAATCTCATAATCTCTCTTGAAATCTTATATTCTCCTCCTGCTTGGATGATAAAACATAGTGAAAACTTATGTCTAATATGTGCTTAAACATACTTGACATAATTGTCTTAGAAGATTCTCCATTTAACCTTCATCGATGTTCTAGATCTTGTTACAACTGGCTTCTCTGCTTTTAGTCTCCATGAACCCTTTTCTTTGTCGGTGTCAAGAACAATCAGGTCCAATCCTTTTTTTTTTATAAACCCTATCGGCTGATCCGGTCAGCCTCGGTAGGAACGCATCGAGGTGCTACAGAGTGGACTTCTCCCACGGTTCAACGATTCAACGGACACCATGAGCTCCGAGCGGACTCGGGTCGAACGGGCCATGAGATCATGAGATCCACAATTGGACCACCACACTGCCTGATCCGAGTTTGGAGTGTCTTCCGACTAATGCCAGGGAGTAGTCAAGCCGCCTGCATTTCTAGCTACCAGGTAAACCAATCGGGCCAAAGGCCAACTGACAGACTTCCCAAACAAATGTGTTTTTGTTTTTAGGGAGAATCGAACTTAGGTTTGGGAGTTTCACCATATTCCAAAGCTTCTTCTGCCACTAGAGCACAGATGCTTGGACAAAAAAATTAAGGGGCACCATTTTGAAGTATCGGTTTGGGTATAATGGTACTGTTCAAGAAGGTATATTAGTCTTTTGATATTAATTAGTCTTGGTGTAGACTTTGGTTGTCTTTTCCATTGATACGATTTTCTCTGATAACTTCATCCTTCTTTTTACTGATCAGTTAAGTGGACTACTTTGAAAATGGGCTTATTTCTCTTTTATTGGGTTCAATTGAATTCTCAAATTGGTGTTTTTTTTTGTTTTTGTTTTGATCCGCTTGCTAGTTGCTACCAATAAATTAAAAAAATGTAACAAAATTTTATCAAAAAAAAAAAAAAAGTTAAATGGTGAATGGATGGATAGAACGATGGGTTATTAACGTCTTTTAACTTCAAGAAAATGGAGATGAAGATGTGACGTTTCAATGAAGCTTTACCCAAACCAACATGGCATGTGAATTTATGTACTTTTTCTATTTTTCTATTTTTCTTTTTCACCGAATTCAGTCCCATTCTCCCTTCTTCCTTATCCTAACCTCAAATTTCTTAAACAAGATAAGATTTTTTAATTATTTTCAATTATTCTGGTGATAATTAGGCATGATGAGCAAGACGCTAGATTATGTTTCTTCTAGTCCTTTAAAAAAAAAAAAATCTGTTGTAGGTAGTAAAGGATATAAATTGTATGTATAGAACATTTTGTTTGGCTATTGAATTGGTAGTTGGTACCATTATTTTATGAAAGAGGTCTTGTATTTTTTAGGATAAAAATTACAACTTTATAAAGCCAAATAATGAAAATATTGATCACTATCCAAATCGCAAATACTTTAGATATTTCTAAGAAATAGTATACCGATTCAAATTGTTAGTATACGGATAACAAATAAATATTTTGATTGAGTGATACAAAAGGTTACCAACTTTCAAGTCAAGAACTAAAAAAAAAATGTTTCTAAAAAATATTAGAACGAGTAAAACTGTTTGTAGTTCTAGATTTGAAGTGGTTAAGAAAGTGAGACAAATTAATGTTTTAAACATCGAAGGAAAAAACAAATTAGAAGTGTGAAAGAGGAGAGGAATGGGTTGAATAGTAGGGTATGTTCTCTTGTGGAGATCCTAAATTGATTTGACGTAACTCACTAATCATTAATGCCTTCATACCCACCCACATGTTCCCTCTTCTTGTAATACCAATCAATTTGGTTGGACAAAACACAAACACAAACACAAACACAAGGCAATATCAATGGTAACCACTATTCTCAAATCATTGTTTCTTAAGACTCATTCACTTTATTTTCTCTTTTATCATTACCATTACCAATATTACTTTTCTTGTTATTTTAAATGCTGCCGAACTTTTTTACATGACCAATATGGGGAAAACGGCAGATTCTTTCCACGAACTAAGTTATTTTAGCGTATTTCTATACAAAATTTTGAAATATGACTATAACTAAATGAATTTAACTAAAATTTAAATTTTCTAAACGAATAGAACTTTCAGGTGTGCCAATAACCATTAGTTCATAACCAATGTCTAGGCAAGTATGGTTCAAGTTCAGTATTTGTATTTTTCAAGTTGTCAGTATCAGTTTGTACTCTCCACAACCCACCAACCAAAATCTATATACCTTTTTTTCTTTCTACAATGTCAAAATTGAAAAGTTAATAACATTATACCAATATCACCAAAATAACATATTATAGGTCCGATTAATGGCGTAATATTGTTTTTAAATAATTAATATTGGAACTAGGTAGTTTACCTGCATTATGTGCGGAGTAAAATGATTATTAAGTATATGCATTATGGTTAATTACAAATTTATTTTATTATTATCTGGATACTGAAAGTTGTTAGTATATTACGAAACATATATGTAATATATATTATTTTATTTAATTCGAACAATCGATTGTTTTATATTGGAATTTGTTTTACGGATAAATTGATGGAAAAAGATAATTTCTTTTCTAATTAAATAACAAACATTTTATTTTATTTTGTAAACAGTTGATGAAAATACGTGATCCGCCTTAGACCAGAAAAAAAGTTGACTTACAAATAATTCTCATTGAATCTGGTATTTTGATACCTATAAAAAGAAATTTATTTTCTAAAATGATAGTTACCCTATAAAAGAATTGTATTTAAAATAGAAACATAGTTATATAGACTTGTTACGTATGTAGATAGAAAATTGTTAGGTCCTCGTCATCCATTTCGGAATACTGTGGATTAATTCATTGCATATGTAGTTAATCAATTTATATATAATACTATTGGCAAAACTTGTATATATTCTAATAAATGTTTGACAGTTAATTAGATGAGTTAAGAAGTTATATAAGCATGACACGTTAACATGATATTTTAGTTAACAACACGGGAGGGTAAATTTTTTTAAAAATTTTTTTCTCAATTAATATATAAGAGATACAAAATAATGGTAAGAAATAAATGTGCAAATATAACAGTGATACCATATTTGATTTAACTAATTTTATATTTTATAACAAAAATGTAAAATACTTTCTTATAATTCCAATAAAAAATGGGCTGTCTGCCTTGTCTCCCTGTAATATAGCGTTTCAACTTGGTTCCTCTATACTTTCAGCCTCTTTCCAATTCTACCTGAACAACTTATATTCTTCTCAATTCCACCCAATCTCAAATGTGGTTTAAAATCGATAAATCGCGTTTTAAAATTGATTAGCTATGATTAAACCGTTAATCCTACCACGATCTATCAACTCGAATTGAACCTTCTGTTTGAGAAAGAGGGTTCGATTTATCTTTTTAAAACCAAAAACAAAAATGATTTTGGGGAACAAAGCTTTCTTGTACTCCAAATCGATTAAGGGCTTGAATTGAACAAAGCTTTCTTGTTTCCCAACTCAAACAGAAGGTTCAATTCGGGTTGACGTGGTTGGGTCAATGGTTTAATCATGGCTAATCGATTTTAAAACATGATTTATCAATTTTAAAACGCATTTGAGAAGCTTAATTGATTTTGGTTAATTAGACATAATTATATAAGATTGGGTGGAATTGAGAAAAAAATATAAGTTGTTCAAGTAGAATTGGAAAGAGACTAAAAGTATAGGGGGAACCGAATTGAAACGCTATATTACAGGGAGACAGGGGCAGGCAGCCCATAAAAAAATTATCAATCAAAATGTATATTCGTTGGGTGGATGAAGGAAAGTAGGGGCTGAACAAACGGGAATTCAGGATAACACTTTGCGGAAACGGAAATAGAATGAGTATTCGGAAACCAAAAACGAAGTCTCATTTATGTTCCATTTTGGCTATCATGTACTCCCCCCGTTTCGTTTTAGTTGTCGTTTAATGTTTTTTTCACACAAATTAAGAAAAACATTTAATTTTCTGTTTTACCCTTTATTAATATATTTTATAAAAAATTTCATTGGCCAAAACATTAAAACAGTAGGGATAAAACTGGAAATTTCACCAAATATTTGCATTGAAACCTAAAACGACAACTATTATGAAACAAACTTTAAATCCTAAAACGACAACTAAACTGAAACGGAGGGAGTATCATATATAAAGAGAAGCAAAAAAAAAAATGTCAAAAATAAAGATAGAAGAGAATTAAATGAAAAACATACCTTGGGTTGTGTTATATATCATTTATCATTTTTATAAACTTAAAAGTTAAAGACAAAATATGTAATAATAAGAACAAAGACAAACCAAACTATATTATAATCCATTTCATATAAATCACATAGTCATAACAAAATCAAAATAAATTAAAATCTTTCCATTTATACAAGACAAAGTAGAATTTTGAATGCTATGAAATCTAATAATATGTAACTTTTGTAATACTTTGGAAAAATTAGAAAATTTAATTTTAAGTTTGTGGTACTATTCTATATTTCTAATAGTTTACGACTATAACGTATATACTTAAGCATATAAAATATCATATTTATTTCATAACTTATTTTCAAATGGGATTGGCAATTTCAATTATCGGCTTGTCCCATCCCATCCTGTTTCTAAACGGAATTTAAATACTTGTACATCAGGATTATTTTTCTGTATATATGAAACGATAATCAAAACAAAAAAAAGGAATGTAACAAAACATGATGGAACGAGAATTATTTTTACTTGTAAGCAAAAATATATACGACGAAAATATACTCAATTCATACAAATTTTAAGATTGGATACAATAAATAAATATCTACACCGTTTAATAATATATATATGAGTGTATGCATTAGATAAAAGGATAAGGATGGAAGTGAAAGCTACAGTCTCCCTAACCAGCCACCATTTACATGGCATGGAACTGGACTTAAGACGGAACGATCCAACATACCAACCCTACTCAAAAAGCCTAACTTGGAGGTGATTTCTTGTTAAACCCCATCAAATACAGATGAAATGAGGATTGTGATCCAAGGTCGAACGGAGAAAAAAGACCACAAAGACACCAACACCGCCATTAGGAAGAGATCCAAGTTTTACGTACATAAGAGAGAAGTAGTCGTTCGATACCATCCGTAGAGACGCTATTATCTTTTAGTCGCGTACCATATACCAAGGAGATATCACCTTCATTCTTCTTTTAAATCTAATATTATTGGAACATGAATCCTCTGCATTTTACTCATAATACACAACTTTTAAAATCTCATGGGTTATACATGAGTCTTAAATTTTCTATAGCAAATTACTAAGAAAAAAAAACTACAACTAAAAATCCAATAACAAATGATAAAAAGTTCATAAATAACAATTAATAAAATTATATTCAATAGTGAAATCATTTAATAAGGTATAGTAGAAATTAATAAAAATATATGACCTTAAATAGTTGTTTTTTTCTGGAATAGTTTTTGGTTTAAGGTTTTAAAAAAGGGTAATATTACTAACTAGCCAAATTTGATACATAAATTAAGAAACTAGCAGAGAGAGAAAATTATGTCGGAAAACAGCATGGACCCACCTTGTCTGAAGAGGTGAAATAACAAAATCATCCTCCGTTTGTTTTGAGATCTACAGTAGGCGACATTGTTTCGTGATATTTTTCAAAATAGCACGTAAGATCTAAATTTCACATGTTATATTTAACTAAAATACATGCTATTTAAAAAACGTAGTGAACTTTTAAGAAAAAACATTATTACGTAGTGTTTTTTTTTTTTAAAAACATTGTTACGGAAAAATTAAACTTGAATAGAATCTTTTTATAAAGAAATAACATGTGATCTTAATAAAAACCATGAATTACTAGAAAATAAGAATCGTTTTTTAAAGAAATTACATGTGATCATAATAAAAAATGTGTATTACTACAAAATAACATGATAGCGAAAGACATTAAACTGAATAGAGTGTTTTTTCAAAGAAATAACATGTGATCTTAATAAAAACCGTGAATTACTAGAAAATAAGAATCTTTTTTTAAAAAAAATCACATGTGATCATAATAAAAAAACGTGTATTACTATAAAATAACATGATAGAGAAAGATATTAAACTGAATAGAGTGTTTTTTCAAAAAATATCATGTGCTCTTTATAAATAACGTGTAAAACCGGAAAATAATATGATAAAAAGAGATATATTATTCTATCACATGTAATTCGAGAAAAAAACATGTTATAAAGGGCATGTGTGTAATTTCACGTGTTTTCCGACATCCAACAGACAAAGCTGTAGCTCATGGCTATTTTCTTAATTCTTTTTGAATCCATGGCTATTTACTATAAATTCTCTTTAAAAAATCTTTAAAATTTTTTTGGATAAGTAGTTTTTATAGAAACTAGAGTTTCACATCTAATTTTTTTTAATAAACAAAAAATTATCAAATAAATACGAAAAATATTTCACATCATTTGAATTATAATATGTTACTTTTCACATACATACCTTATTTTTAATAGTTCTTAATTACTTTCTTCATCTTTCTACTTAAATGATCATTTATAACAAGATAAATCACCCATGATAGATAAATGTTATCGAATAATTATGTTTTGTGGAAATATTAAAGTCTTGAGTATTTAAAATAGTTATTATAAATATAATTAATATAATAAGATACAATTTAAATCGTACATGTTATATAATATTAAAAGTAAATCGCTATTTTTCGTAGAACAAGAAAATACCTATTAAAAGAAATAAGATAACATATTAAAAGGTAATTTTAACCATTAAAATCAAAAACTATATTTGGGCGATAAAAATTTTATATAAAATCTGTTGTGATAGTTTATCATCTTATTTTATCATATGAAATATATTTCGAATAACATTTCTTACAAGATTTTAGTCCAAAAACATTGCATACAAGATTTTGAAGTTGGGAGTAGTGCCATTGGATAAGTTTCTTTTATAATTTTTTTATATTACTGTTTTGCTATATTTCTTAGGAATCTTATTCTAGGTATCAACTTTTAAAGAGGAATATTGTCGCTAGAAAAACAAATAAAAAATAAGAGTTTTGTCAACAACCTTATTGCAAAATGTTGAATGATGGATTGGACATGACTTTCGGAGATCATGTGAGCTTTTGGGACCCAATTTCTTAATTATTGATCCTTCATTTCTCACATGTATAAATCTTCTCGTATTTGAAATTTTGACAAATAGCAATGTGATTTTTTTTTTTTCGTCTGAATGATTCCATTATATTATACGAGGGGTAGAATACGGTTTTAAAATACAACACCGACAAGAGTCAAAACTCTTTTGGAAACTAAGCCGGCGGAAGACATAAATATCCCTGGGAAACTAAGCTCAAAAGAGGGAAGCAAACTATAAACCAAAAGGTACAAGAAGGTAAACTCAAAAGGAACCCAAAAACTAAATCTGAGACTCGAAACCATCATAACCCGCAAAATAATTCCAGAGAAACGGTTGGCGTCGGAGTTGAAACCAAGAAACATGAGCCTCAAGAAGAACCAACCAAACATGCAAACTCCAATAGACCGGAGATCCCGAAGAAGAACGAATCTGAAAGCTCAACCAGCAACAATCTGACAGAACAGAGAGCGAGATCAATCCAAAAAATGAGCACAGCAACAAACACCATCATGCCATCTCCACCATGGAAATGAGCTCGAGCGAAACTAGGCACAAATAACCTTCGAAAAATGGCTGGGGATAAGTCAAAGAGGAGCACCAACTCTTACACGCGGACAAAGCGAACCAATCAAAACCACCTACAAACCTGAACCGGTCACGACCTCGCAAGAGAAGAACTAGTGAACGAAACCACTGCTGTGCTTAGAACCCAACAACGAAAACCGAAGACGGCTTCATAAAAGACCTAGTAGATGCACCTACAACGATGTACCATCCGAGAGACAAACCCCAAACACGAACCTAGCCCACCAGAACCCACACATAAACGAGAGGAAGCAAACAGCGAAGAAGAACTAGGAACCCAAAGCAGAGAGTTAAAACAAGCAAAGCACTAATCCGGAAAGCACAGCAAAGCCATACAATAAGCCGTAGAGTTAGAACCCAATAAAGCAAAACTTAATCTCTGCCCAAGCCTAAAGCACCAACTAAACCTTCAACACAAACTACAAGATCTAAACCAAACACAACCAACGAAGAGCCAAAGAAAAAAGAAGCATGAGAGACAAGAGGAGAATTGGGTCACCGAGAAAACAGAGCCGTTGTTCAGATCAGAAGAAGCCATAGATGCTCCAAACACAATGAAGCAAGTGGTCAGGGACAAGAAGAGGCACCACACATAGATTCGATAGTGAGAACTACGACTCCATCATCACCATCAATCAAAAGCCCTTTCGATTCCAGTCTCCTAGAACCAAACTCCATCAGATCTGAGATTCAACAATAACCCAAAACAACTCGCCAAAACTACCACACTTCCAAAATCGAAGAAATCAAAGACAATAAATGAAAGAGAGGACCGACGCCGACGCTGTGGGAGCCGTCACGCGCCGGTCAGATCGTGGCCAAGACGAGGAAGATGAAGAGCAGCGATTAGGTTAGAGAGAGAAGGAAGAGTCGGGGAAAAAAACGAGATCTTACTAACCACTACGAGCAACAAATTGATTCATAGTCAAACTAGAGGAGATACAAACCCTTATTTGAATCAGTCTTGTGACACAAAAAATGTAAACAAAACAAGTTGTTCAAGACGATTCATGTAAACTCCGGTGAAATGCCATCATGTAGCAATAATCTATCGTGCAAGATGTGATCCAACAAATCTAGTAAAATCAATCAAACAATCAAAATTTTTATGATTTCTTTCTACAAAGAATCTTACTAACCACTACGAGCAACGAATTCAAAATAAAATAAAAACACCCTCAAAAGCTTTTTTTTTGTATCCAAAAATGAGAGAAGAATTGCAGGAGACTAATCCAAATAATTAATAGTCACAATTAAGTGAAATAATATTTTTATATACATTATATATAGTTAGAAAAATACTTTGCACTGTTGGTAGGTGGAAAACAAAAAATATTTACTTTACTTCAATAACATTGTTTGAGATAATAGTATTCAATATAGAGCATGCTTGCATATTTTTCTTGTCAGATATAGAATCTAACATTTGCTAAAGACACATCTAAATACTATAATACATTTAGACACATATAAATACCATACTATAATATATTTAGACATAAGAAAAAAAGAGAGGCAAAAATAGGTGGATTATTCTTGTTTTTTATTAGAAACTGAAACCTAATAGTACTGTCACTTGCCATTAAGCATTTCTCATTAGTTATATAAACCGACAATTAACAAAACTTGCCAAATTTTAGACAAGAAAAGACATAAAATATACGTGGACATCACATGTTCGACACATCGTAGTTATGTTGTTATGGTCATTTGCATGTAAAATGTGTCGTTCTCAATTAATTTCCGTGCTCACTTTAAACCCTTCTTTGAAAAATCGCTAGGCGCTAGTCAGACACTTGGTATGGGCCTAGCGATTAATCGAAAAATCAGATTATAATTGGGGATTAATCGGAGATTAGTTTTAGGATTATTTTAATACTTTTAAAACATATTAATCAAATATTGTTTTCAAAATTTCAGTAAACACATAAAATTGTATTTTTGAGATAAATTTTTATGATTTTTATTACAAATTTATGATTTTTATTAAAATTTGAACATAAATTATTGTAAAACATCACAAACTCCCAATTTAAATGATTGAATAACAAAAATAAAAAGTTTTTAATAATTGCAATCTAAAAATAATCGAGATATGTAAAATTAGGCGGGGAGTAATCGGATTAGGCGGGAAGTAATCGGATTAGGCGGAGAGTAATCGGGTAACTGATTTTTTTAGGGGATTAGTCATTAGTCGAGGCGGATAGGGTAGGCCTAGCGATTAAGCGAGGAGTAATCGGGTCTAGGCGGGGATTTTTAGAACATGGCTTTAAACTGTAAATCTATACTCTATCTAATGATTTTATTTACTTTATTCAACCATTCTCATGGTATTATGTAGCAGAAGAAATCTATTTTGGTCAAGTAAAATGTATAAGATACATCACATTTTTGGTACAACTGTGTTAACTATTTTCAACTATGTATTTTTTTTTCTAGCGAATAAAGTGTTAAAAGAAAAAGAAATCAGTTTCAGTTTTTTTTCTTTCTTACACTTTTTCTGAAAAAAAAAAAAATTAGTATTATTGTTAAACAATAAAAATAAAGAAAAAAAAATTAAGATCGTGAAGAAACTAGAATCTCTATGTGATGTCATAACTGACAAGAAGTATTATTTGGACAGAAGCGGTCTTTAAAAGATCGACGCACATATTCTTCTTCAACGTGATTTCCACTTTATACGTATAAACAACATTTCATTTCCTTTGCACAAAAAAAAACGTATAACATTTCATTTATTGTTTTTTTTTTTCTTTTGATAATAACATTTCATTTCATTTATTTTTTATTTTGGTTTAACATTTCATTTATTGTTATTAAGAAAATTTACGTAATTTTGTTTTTGTCATCCGAAATTACAAAAAAAAAAAAAAAATTACGTAATTTCATATATCTATAACCACAAAATATCTTAATTACGCCGGATCTTGTAACTTGTAACGTGAGGTTACATGAAAAATATATAGTACGATAATAAGTTACAAGTTGCTGCAACACTTTTCTCTTTAAAGAAGATTCAAAATAAACCTCAAGTTAATTATAAATTCTATAGCTGTTATATAAAAAATAAGGTAGTCTAAAAATAATGTCTTAATAAATAAGTCACTTGAACACCATCATCTAAATGTATTAAGGGATTCTTATAATAATTGTATTTAATATGAGAAACTTAGAGATAATCTAAAAGTTCTTAGAATGGCCAATTTGCTTGTTTTGATTTTTGATTTTTTTTTGGTCAACCATACAGATTAAATTAGAAAACACACTTCACAAATGGTATTGAGTATATGGTGGTGATTGTAATAGATCCAACGTCTCATCCCTCATATTTGATTCTATTTGAAAATCACATTAAAGTGTTTGATAAACGGAGCTATCAAAAATACATTTAAAAAGTTATCATGATATTAGTCTGTTTTGATCCGAATTCCTGTCTTGTTTGGAAAAGAAAACATTTTAATTGGTTCTTCAAATCAGAAAATAAAAGTTTGTAAAGAAACCATCCTCAAATTTAATCTAAAAAAACGATATTAACAATATGTCATAAAATTTAATAGTTGCTTTTAGATATTAACCAAAATGAATTTATGATTTGTTAGCGTCTCGGATTCCAACCATTAAATTCAAAATCTCAATTCAGAGTATGCAAATATTTGTTTTGTTATTGTCTCTAAGACATGATTAATTGGGAAAAGAAAACAATTCATTAATCCTTACAGATTAATTTAATGTTCATATGTAGTATTAATACTTAATTAAACAAACAAACATTAAAAGTTGAGCCTCCGTGGTTCATATATGCAGAAGGAATATCTCGGATCCATTTTTGGTATCAACGAATAAAGTGTTAATTAATATTTAACCACATCCACAAGAGGGTTTAACGTGGAATTAAGTATAACCACGCAAAGATAATATAGCTGTTAAATCTTTTTCTTTTTAAATTACCGACCATCGAAACGTACTTCAAGAATTCGAACAAAAAATAATGCAAGGGACTTATCAAATAACTCAAAAATTATTATTTAATTTTTCTTTACAAAAGCATTTCAAAAACTTTAGAGACCCTTTGGTCGAGCGTCATCAATATTAAAAATTCAAACCAAGAGCAGTGTTTTGATGGTCGATAACTCGTCTTATTGGTCGAGACAAGTGATCGAGTTAGTATTAACACAGTCCACCCGTTGTCCCAAGCTCCAGTTTTTGATACGGTTTCAGTTGAGAGCCGATATAGCCCAACCATGCGAAGAAATGATACTTGGGATTTGAATAAGAGAACATATGTCTTTGGGCCAATCAAATCGCATACTCATTCTGTTCTACAAAGATAGAAATTTACATTTTTTTTAACCTTTTAACATATTTTAAAGAGTATATTATTTATTGTTGTTTAGTAAATGTAGAATGGGTAAACTGTTTTAAATTTGACATTGAAAACACCAAATTTCTATCTTTGCGGGACAAAAAAATTTTCTAAAAAATTCATCTTTGTAGGACGGAAGGAGTACATATTTCTCTAATTATGTTCTAGGTGTTATTTGTTGAGAATGTTGTAATTAATTTATTTTCTAAAATTTATGATGCTTAAAGTTTTATAACTATGTAATATACCTAAAAATTTTCAAATTATATCATTTTAACACATTTTTATTTTATAGTTTATAATTATCATCAAATGACGATATACACGTGAAATTTTTTGTTTTATACAATCTTAACTTAATCAAGCTATATGCCTAATATTGATGGTGTTAAAAATAATAAAATGAGAATTAAACCGGTATCGAAGCGGTGGATTAATGATATTTTAAAATTTAATTCAAACTCGTCCCGCTATATAATCCCGTCCTGCAATATAATTCGCCATGTGTTATTTTAAATTTACAAACTCTTAAATTTGTATCCTTGTTAAGTTAAGATTTCCGTTCATTCAAATTTGGATTCATTTTGATATTATTTAAAATATATCTCTGAATACTTGTCTAAATATTTTCATTAATTAAGTAATTTATGTCTTTTTTTTAAATTTTGAATCACAATATATGCCGAAAAACAAATTTGAGATTTTTTAAAAAACTTTATATATTATATGATAAATATAATTTAAAACAATTAAAAAATCAAACAAAAATGATAAAGTGAATCATAATTTTTAATCTTAACTAAATCTTCTAAATATTTATATTATTAACTATGAAATATTATATAGATATCTAAGGTAATATCCGTTTGAAAGATATCCAGTGTAAAATCGACCCGACCCACAAGTGGTATTGTTTGTAAATTTTAAAGGCTAATGTTTTTTCTAGATTTATATGTAGAATTAAGTAGAATAAATTATTAAGAAAATACAGAAGCAATCCACTAATAAAAACTCATATATATTCTTTAATCGTTTTTATTAAATGTAAACACATGAATATTATTTTCGAAAAACTAAACAAATCTTTGTATTATATTAATGACCAAAACAATAAAAAATAAATTATTCTTTAATCTAATAATAATAACAATCTCAATAAATGCTTTTTTCACTTATGAACGGTTGTGTTTTTTTTGTCGCAATTGTTCGTTATTTTTTTTAAAACTAAAATATATATTTTTAAAGGTTATGTTTTTTAGAAAATTGTAATATGAATGTCTTCTACGTTTGCATCTTTTTCTTGCAACTCTACATAAACAGTTACAACCGCTTATTCGAATCATTGCAATATTTAGTTTATTTCACGAACAATTGCAACCTTTGGTTTATTTTATAAATCATCATAACATTTAATTATCTACCGTCGCGTCTCTTGGTGTAACTTTTTATAAATTATTATTTTTAATTTTTAATTTTTAATTATCAAAATATATTTAAATGAGATTGTAACTGTTTAATTGAACTGTTGTAACATTTGGTTTATTTGATAAATCATTGCAACTTTTGGTTTGATTTACGAACTTAAGGAACCGTTGAAACTTTTGGTATATCGCAAAATTTTGTTTATTTTTTAAAACTAAAACTATATTTTACGTTATGTTTTTTTGAGAAAGTTGCAATCTGAGTAAATGTTTTCTACGGTTGCATCTTTTTATTGTGACTCTTCATAAAACAGTTGCAACCGTTTAGTTAAATCATTGCAACATTTAATTTATTTTACGAATAGTTGTAACTTTAGTTTTATTTTATAAATTGTCATACCGTCGGTGTCACTTTTCATAAATTATTATTCTTAATTTTTAAATTTTAGTTACTAAAATGTATTTAAATGAGAGTTCTAAAACAAAAATGTATTTAAATGAGATTGTAACCGTTGAATTGAATTGTTGCAACAATTGGTTTATTTGAGGAATCATTGCAATTTTTGGTTTTGTTTTACGAACTATTGTAATCTTTAGTATATTTGATGAACCATTGCAACATTTGGTATATTTGACTAACTATTTTAACTTTTGGTATATTTGATATCTACTGTCGCGTCTCTCGGTTAAAGTTTGTCATATTTTTTTTAAAAAATTAATTATTAAATATATTTAAATAAATTTTTGTTACCGTTTAGTTTAAAATAGTAGCATTAGGTTTATTTAATGAACCAATGAACATTTTGGATTATTTATCAAACCGGTGTAACCTTTAGTTTATTTGATGTTTTTTTTCACTTTTCATTTGATATTTTTTAAACGATTTTTGAAATATTTTCCTCTGCGACATGAGTTCTAAGTCTTAATAATAGTAAAAGAAAACTAGGAAAATAATAAATTCTACTTTTACATCCCTATCTAAAATGATTTAATACAAGAGGAAAAACGTAAATATTATTAAAAATGTATGAAAATTATGCTACATATGTATATACACGTAAAATACACCGTATATAACATAAAATACGAAGGAGTAAAAGAGTCTTATTTGGTATAGAGTTAAGGGTTCAAACTTCAAAGTAATAATTAAATCAATGATGTGTATATATTGATATGTAGTAGTATATGTAAAGGTCTCACGTCTCTATAATAAAGTATGACTCGTCACGTGACCTCCTCTTCTTGGCAGAGGCAGAGATAGGATGAGACAGAAAGAAACCAACAAAACCAAACCCCAAAACCCAAGAAAAAGAGAAAACTCTCTCTTTCTTCTCTCTCTTTCTTCTCTCTCTATGTCTATTTAAGAGACTTCACTGTCTCTCTCAGTCTTTTAACGCAAAACAACTTTTGTGGAAGAGAGAAAGCGAGATAACACAACGCAGAGATACACATCTTCAATAGTTAAGAGTTTTCTATATACAGAAGCAAAGAAAAGAGAGAGAGAGAGAGACAGATACAAAAGTTAATATCTCTCCTTCTCTCTCACTTGGTGAGACTTCTCTTTTTTCCTCTGGGTTTTGTGGTGGGGGTTGTCTCTATAAAAACCTGTATATATATATATATATTTATATATATTAATATTAATAAATAAGAAGGAATTATCAGGTTTTATATAAAATAGCAAAAGAAATGCAACAGCACCTGATGCAGATGCAGCCCATGATGGCTGGTTACTACCCCAGCAATGTTACCTCTGATCATATCCAACAGGTTCTCTTCTTCTTCTTCTTCTTCTTTTTCTTCTTCTTCTTCTATTATATTATCTCTTTCTTTTTCTTTATTATATGTTTCTTTGAATCATAAAGAAAAGTGATGAAATCTCTCTTGCAAGTACCTTATAACTTTTTCTTTTTATATATATTAAAAAAAAAAAAGGTATGTGAAACCCTTTTCTTTTGTTCTCATAATAACATATATGAATGATGGGTTTTTTTTTTTCATGGGTATAACTAAAATGATATTTGGTTCTTTTTATTCTTGTTTCCATGTCTTTTTTCATAGATAAATTAGTTTTAGTTTTATAACTTTTAATACATCTGTGTTTATGTTCGATAAATTCGGTTGGTAGAGATGCTTTGGTCTTTTGTTTTGTGCATCAGCTTCAATTTCTTTTATCATGTCACTAGATGATTCTTAGCCCACTTTTTTTCTTTTCCACAAAGATTTGGACCATTTGTTGTATTTCTTAACTTTTATGCTAATTAATTGTCTAAAACCAGACAAGTTAAGAAAGATTCCTTCTTTTAATGAAAATGAATTTTTAGGGTCCAGTTGTTTTAAGTTCTTGAAACATGTAATGAAAAATAATGTGTTCAAAACAGACAAATCTTGGGAACTGAAGATTTGTTTCACATATCTCGTTTTTTCTTCTTGTCTTGGTTTTCGGGTTCTGGAAGTTTCATTGATGGCAAAAACCACAAAGCCATTTATGTGAATATGGTGGTGGTCCTGTTTAGATTTGTTATCATTAGTAGATCTATGTGTATTTTCCAGTCCAAGTGTTTCTTTTATTGCTTACATGACCAGATATACTTTGTGGTCCGAAACAACATCTGGTCCTTATCTCTGTTTTATTTTTTGTGTGGTCCTCTAAATCTTTTCGAAGAAAATCTTTCATTACACTTTTGTGATGTTTCAACATTATTGTCTTTTGAGATAAGTCGGAATCTAAGTTACTGGGGTCTCTTTTTGAGTTTTTCTATGTCTTTATTCCAACAAAAACAAAAAAAAGTATGCAAATTTTATGTTTGTAACATTACTGATTAATGAGAATGTTGATTGTAGTACTTGGACGAGAACAAATCGTTGATTCTGAAGATTGTTGAGTCTCAAAACTCGGGAAAGCTTAGCGAGTGCGCCGAGTAAGACACAACATATCTCCTTGATGATTTCACTTGTGTTCTGTTGAATAATAATAATAAATGATCAAAATGGTTTATTTGATGGTTACAGGAATCAGGCAAGACTTCAACGCAACCTAATGTACTTAGCTGCAATAGCAGATTCTCAGCCTCAGCCTCCAAGTGTGCATAGCCAGGTAAACAGTTAAATCAGTAAAGTTTTTGAAATTTTGTTGTATGAAATTGAGAAACTATCATTGGTATTGTTTGGTTATTAGTATGGATCTGCTGGTGGTGGGATGATTCAAGGAGAAGGAGGGTCACACTATTTGCAGCAGCAACAAGCGACTCAGCAGCAACAGATGACTCAGCAGTCTCTAATGGCGGCTCGATCCTCAATGTTGTATGCTCAGCAGCAGCAGCAACAGCCTTACGCAACGCTTCAGCATCAGCAATTGCACCATAGCCAGCTTGGAATGAGCTCGAGCAGCGGAGGAGGAGGAAGCAGTGGTCTCCATATCCTTCAAGGAGAGGCTGGTGGGTTTCATGATTTTGGCCGTGGGAAGCCCGAAATGGGAAGTGGTGGTGGCGGTGAAGGCAGAGGAGGAAGTTCAGGGGATGGTGGCGAAACCCTTTACTTGAAATCATCAGATGATGGGAATTAAAAGAGTGTGGCACAAGGAATCTTAATGATGAAGCAGCAGCAGAAGTAGTAGTAGTAATAATAGGAGTCTTGAAGTTAGTGTGTTTTTGTTTAGTTGCTTGTTGAAGAAGCAAAGAACTCTTTATTTACTTTCTTAGTTTTTGTTATTCTCTCTATGTTTGTTCCCTAAAAAGTGAACCTCTTTCGTGGTAATGTACCATGTAAATCTGCTGGCTCCAAGTTGTGTCTTAATCTTAGTATGTTATTTCTCTGAGGCAGACTCTGTTGCTTTAACCAGGACTGAGTTTTTGGAGATCATTGATATTACCTAATTGGATTATAAATCGTTATGAAGCCTATATTATTGTTGTTATTCATAATTTTATTTTCTAATTGATAAAGTCTATATTATTGGTGCTTGTCGCTAGTGGCTCGTGGGTAGCATTTAAGCATGGGTCAGTGCTTGTGTCTACGAGCTCGAGTGATCGAGCACACATTCCACAATTAACACCAAAAGAAAAAGAGAAAAAAAAAAAGTCTATATTATTGTGGGATACGGACTTGCCCTCTATGACTAATTCGGCCTAAACAAAGATCAACTAAGTTAAACATGCTGTAAATAGGGGAAAACTGCTCATCGTGACAACAACGGCCCGTCAAGCACGCCGGCTCGGCCCGAATGAAGACGGTTCGGCCCAACGGGATGTCGGCTCGGCCCGATAACACATCAGCTCGGCCCATCATGGTTCGGCCCAACCCCATAAATTCGGAGGGGTAAAAAGGAAAAATCACAAGAGAGACAAAAGGAACCCTAGGTCATCTCCTAGCCTATAAATAGCAGAAGACACTGTTGAGAACAGGATCCGGACCTAAAGTCATTATCCAGAGAATTTAAGAGAAAATTGTTGCCTAGCTCATTTCTCTCTAACTTTCTGGTGTTCCATTCTGTATTTCGGTTTTCTGTTTTGTACTTCAGTTTTATGTTTTGTAACTTACTGTTCTCTCGTTCATCGTTAATAAAGAAGCTGCTCCGTTCTACCTAAAAACCCTTACATATTTATTGTTAAAACTTCGGTACAAACAATTATGGTGCAATGGAGATATGATATTGAGATTTACCATTAGTGTAGTTAAAATATAATTGAACACAACCGGTGCAGTCCATGACTCATATGACCTGCCTTAGTGGTCCTCGCAAGGTCCCATACTGCTGAAGACCCGACCTGGACCAGCCCATAGCCACCCACGAAGCTGCACTCAAACCAACGACCATATTCGGGTCCATTTATGAAAACTGCTACAGCCGACCAAATCAAGCGTATGTGCCATCACGTTGTCAAAGACCCGTGAAGAGAAAGAGGGTTTCAAACCTTCGGACCAAGCCAGAGGACTCCTAAGGAAGATGAGATATACATTGAATGCACTTTCCTTGTATATGCATATTTGGCCGCATCTCTTTCAACGGCTAGATCCAACCAAATTAAAGAGAGCTATTATATTTCAAAAAGAAGAGACACAAGACTTGCGATATTCAGCTCACGCCTATCTCTTCTTGTTCAAGCATTCCTTTTATGCTTTGCTTCTCATTAATTTGGCCAACGGCCCATATAATCTCCCTTTCAAATTGTCACAAAGTTAAGTTTCCTTCTTTATGCCCAGTGAACGTTTGTTATAAGCTCATTACTTTTTCATTTGTAATTCACGAATAAAATTAGAAATAAACTCGTAAGTTTTTAACACAAAAAAATGTGTCTTTTGTCCTTTGTGTTTTGCTCACACTTAAGACATTAGAAATTGTTTTCTAGTTTCTACTACGTAACCCTCATGAATCATTTTATCTCAAATACGTTTAATTATAATATTATATCAGGATGTATTGAAGAAAACATAAGTGCACGGTGCACCGCCATACATCAATACATCCCATTTAGAGAGCGTAATGTCATTGCTACGAATCAAACTATTACCTCCGACATTATGAGTCCATAGCACTTCACAATTGTATAAGTTAAGTTCTCATATCACCACCACAATAGTCCATACCCAATTTCGATCCGTGAATTCTACCTTCACTCAAGAGTCAGTACACTATTCTGGAAGACTTTTCGTCTTGACCCTAAAGATCACTACAAAAAAATTTCCCATGTTCTTTTCACTCATATTTTACTGAAAAATACTTCAAACACTACAGGAATTAAGGCTTTTAATAGCACAACATTATAGCGTTTTTTATTTTTATGCTATAATTGAGTATAGAAAAACTATAGATAGCGTTTCCCAAAAGGTAAATGCTATGGTAAGTTGAGCGCGAAAAATTATTTCAGAGTGGCACTTAGTCTTGGTTCTATTATAGCATAGGTAAACTTAAAACGTTATTGTAGGTTAACCCGGGAACAAAATTTTTCATTGGCTCCAAAATGGGAACAACAAAAAAAAAAGGAAAAAAAAACATGAGATAAAAAAAGAAAATGAGTTTAAAAATTAGTGTTTTCTTCTACTCGATCTCGTCTCTCTCTCGTCTCTCTCATCTCTGAAAGTCGAAATCTGAAACACCATAGATCCCAATTAGCTTGATTCTTCCACTATCGATCCCGCTCAGTCTATTCCCTCTCATATCGATCGCCTAATTTGATACATAAGGTAAAAAATATATATGGGTTTTCGTTTTTGTAAACGATTTAGTTTTTATTTCGTGTTGGGTTTGCTCTGTTTCAGTTGTTTCTGAAGTAATTGGGTTTTGGATTGATGTTTGTATGATTGGAATCGATTTTTTTTATGTGAGTTTGGTGTTCGACTTTCAATCTGTGTTTTAATTTGCCTAATTTTTGTCTGCGTTTAGATCTGTCTGAAGCTAATTTGGTTTCCTAGCTTTTGTGAGTATAATCTTTTGTATGGAATTGACTCAGTTTTGTCTGATTGTTGTTGAGAATCGGGTTTATATAAGTTCTTATTTACTGTCTTGTTTGTGTGATGCATAGATTCATAAAAGTTTATACATGTAAAGAACATAAAAATCAATTATTGTGTCTCTAGTTTTATAAGCTTAATTCGATTTTTTTTTGCTGCTCTCTGGTCATTACCAGTTGCTGATGATATTTTGTTGACTTGTAATTGTGAATTGTAGTTGGATTTGCGGATCTGTAGTTGCGGCTCTGTAGCTGTTCAGTACAAGAACTACAAGGTATTTATAGCTTTGTAGCTGTTCCAGTAAAGATGAGTTGTGTTGTTGTAATGATTCTGATAATCCATGTCGTTTTTTTGTTTGCAGATTCTTGATTCATAATCTTCAAACTTCTTGTCCGTGCCTAACTTGTTCTTTGACTTGTGTAAGATATTATTTCTTTACCTGTTTGTTATACACTTTGTGTCTGATGTGAGTGTCTGATCATTAAAGTTATTATGATAATGTATGTATAAATTGGTGGTGGAGATTGGGTCGTATTGGTCTAATATGGACAAGACATGGGCTTGGCTTCCAAGGTATGCATCTCTCAGTTATTATCATAGGTTGTTTCATTTATAGTGATTCTGAACTTTGATTTTTTTCTTAAATTATTATATTAGGAATAGCCTTGAGTATGAGACTGGAGCAAAGAATTTTGTGTATGGAGCATCAAGTATTATGGGTAATCCTGCAGAGATTCTCTGTCCATGTGTCGATTGTCGGAATGTTTGCCATCAGCTACTAGATACTGTAGTGGATCATCTTGTGATGAGAGGTATGGATTTGAAGTACAGGAGGAATCCATGTTGGTTTAATCATGGGGACAGGAGAGAGAGAACATCTGCAGATGTTCTAACTTTAGAGGAAGAGGCTTATGACTTGATAAGGACAGCATATTTTGAGTCTGAAGTTGGTGATGAACATCCATCTGAGGCGTATACTACAGAAGAAGTAGAGTTTAGGGAAAAGTTAGAGGATGCTGAAACTGCACTATACTCAACGTGTCACAAGTATAACAAGGTTTCTGCAATAACGGTTCTTTACAACATCAAAGTGAAGAGTGGGATGTCAGAGAACTTCTTTGATCAGCTATTGACGACAATTAAAGACATGTTGCCAGAAGATAATGTGCTTCCAAAGTCCACTGCTGAGATGAAAAAGTTCTTGAGGTTTTTGGGTTTGGTTACGATGTCATACACGCATGCAAGAACGACTGTATACTGTATCGGAAACAATATGCTCAGATGGAAAGCTGCCCTAGATGTACTGCATCAAGATGAGAAATGGATAAACACAGTGGTGAGGAAAAGAAAGGCATTCCTGCAAAGGTCCTTCGGTATTTTCCTATCAAAGACAGATTGAAGAGGATGTTTAGATCAAAAAGAAAGGCTGAGGATTTGCGTTGGCATTCCAACAATGGTAGTGAAGATGGTGTAATGCGACATCCGGTAGACTCTATTACCTGGTCACGTGTGAATAATAAGTGGCCAGAGTTTGCTGCAGAACCAAGAAACCTTCGACTCGGTCTTTCTACAGATGGAATGAACCCCTTTTCGATGCAGAACACCAAATATAGTGTATGGCCAGTCTTATTAGTGAACTATAACATGCCTCCAACAATGTGTATGAAGTCCGAGAACATCATGTTGAGTTTGTTGATCCCTGGTCCAACTGCACCAAGCAACAACATCGATGTTTATTTAGCACCACTGATAGATGATTTGATTGATTTATGGAATGAAGGTATTGAGGTTTATGACTCATTTATGGAAGAGAAATTTACACTAAGGGCTATGTTGTTGTGGAGTATCAGTGACTATCCAGCATTGGGACATTGTCTAGATGTAAAGTTAAGGGGAAACAAGCCTGTAACGTTTGTGGGAAGGACACACCAAGTAGGTGGTTGAAGTTTAGTAGCAAATATGTGTATATGCGCAATAGGAAACGACTCAGGGCTGGACATCCGTATAGGCGCAAAAATTTATGGTTCGACAACACTGTTGAGAATGGGACAACAAATAGAATTCAAACTGGGGCAGAGATTGCTGAGATACTAAAAGATTTCAGAAATAATTTTGGAAAACCTTTGGATAAGAAGCGTAAGCGGAAAGGGTCTGCCTTGTGCCGAGGTGAGGTTATTGAAGAGGAAGAGTATGATGAAGACAGTGTTCAATGGAGGTGGAAGAAAAGGTCCATATTATTCACTTTACCTTACTGGAAGGTTAGTAGTGGTTTAGATTTGTTTAAGATATAATTTTGAGTAAATGCTGAAAATCTTATTTACTATGTGTTAGGATTTGCCGGTTCGTCACAACATTGATGTCATGCATGTGGAGAAGAATGTGTCTGACGCTATGTTGTCCACTCTGATGCAAAATTCTAAATCTAAAGATGGATTGAAGTCAAGAAAAGACTTGGAAGATATGGGAATACGAAGGCACTTGCATACAGAATCTAGGGTAAAGAAAACTTACTTGCCTCCTGCAGCTTATTGGATGTCAAAGGAAGAGAAAAGAAGATTTTGCCTTAGGTTATCTAAGTTCAGAGGACCTGATGGATATTGTGCGAATATCGCAAATTGTGTGACAGTGAATCCTCCTGGTATTGGTAATCTCAAATCGCATGATCATCATGTGCTAATGAAAAATCTGCTTCCTGTGGCTTTGAGAGGCTTGCTGCCAAAAGGGCCTAGGATAACTGTGACTCGAGTATGCAATTTCTTCCACCGATTATGCCAGCGTACAATAGACACAGAGATGCTAACATCATTGGAGACTGAGATTGTGGAGACAATGTGCCAAATGGAGCGTTTCTTTCTACCATCACTATTTGACATCATGTTCCATCTTCCTCTACATCTAGCAAGAGAGGCTCGTTTAGGTGGACCGGTACACTTTCGTTGGATGTATCCATTTGAGAGGTACAATTTTCTTTGATTTTGTCTATATTAGTTCTGTTTTGATACAATTAGATTAGTAACATTATGTTATGTGATTGAGTTGTAGGTATATGAAGACACTTAAGGGATATGTGAAAAATTATGAAAGGCCAGAAGCATGTATGGCTGAGGGCTATTTGGCTGGGGAATGCATAGCCTTCTGCTTAGATTTTCTAAAGAATTCTGCACCGGTTGAAGATGCTGTAAAGCGAAATGAAGATGTGGAGGCTGATGATATTCTCCTTGAGGGTCGGCCACTGCAGAAGGCTACTGAAGTAAGACTTTCAGACAAAGAGAGAGATATAGCCCATTTGTATGTGTTAATGAACAAATCACTTATGGAGCCCTATGTTGAGTAAGTAAAATTATGTTTATAACTTATATCTTTATGAAAATTTATATACATGAAACTGTAGAGCTGAATCTTTATAAACAGGATGCATTTAGAAGAATTGCAAGCTAATGATGTCCGGTGTGAAAGAAATGAAAATGTACTATGGAAATTGCATACAGAAAGGTTTGCACAGTGGATAAAAGAAAAGGTCTGACTTTTTTTTCTATACTTTAGTGCTTAAGTTTCCTTTACTTTACTTATCTTCATTTTGGTTTTAACTAATTCTGTAATTTCAATTTGTAGATACCTTTTAACTCAGAGGCTCACTCTAAGAAGCTGAGGTGGCTGGCATTTGGACCAAGACATATTGCTCAAAGCCATAAGGGTTTTGTCATAAATGGAATTCGATTCCATACTGATGATGTTAAGCGGGAGACTCAGAACAGTGGAGTGACATATGAAGCATTTTCTATATGTAGAGCTAGTGCACGAGATAGTAACCAAAGGGCTGACGTAGTTACATACTATGGAGTGATCAGGGAGATCATTCTTGTTGACTACCACATGTTCCATGTTCCCCTTTTCAAATGCAGTTGGGCAAACACAGGGAATGGTGTGAAAGAAGAAGAAGGATTCACTCTTGTAAACCTCCATCTTAGCCAGACGGCGTTTCTCCGTGATCCATACATATTGGCATCACAAGCAAAACAAGTGTTTTACTCTAGAGAGGATGAATCCTCTCCTTGGTATGTAGTCATGAGGGCGCCACCAAGAGGATATCATGAGTTAGATACAGAGGAAGAGTTTGTCACAGCACCAGTGTATGACCAGCAACTTGAAGATTTGGAGAATCAGTCATCTGATGATGAGAGTTACTGTGTTAGGGATGACTGTGATGGAGTTATAGTGGAAGATTAATATCAAAGTACAAGCTAGGGAATTGGCTACAGCTTTTTATGGTATAATTTGTGTTGTTGTGTTGCAGGAAGTCATGGTTACTACGAGAGGAGGAGAAAATCTCCGCCGCAGCAACCGGCAGGCGGGAAAAGGCTGGAGTTCTCTTGTTACCAAGAAAATCACCAAGAAGCCAAAGAAAAAGAGTGTTGAAAAGTTGGTTAAAGAAAAGTCAGCTAATCAGGTTGAGGAACAAGTAGTTGATGAAAGTCACAAAGAGAAAGAGAAAGAAATGGATGAAAGAGGAAAAGATGATACTGTGCAAATGGATGAAGGGAGAATAGTAGATGAGGAAGAAGAGGTTGTAGAATCTGAAGGAGAAAAGGAAGCTGCAGAAGACATGCCTGTAGAATCTGAAGGAGAAAAGGAAGCTGCAGAAGACATGCCTGTAGAATCTCAAGGAGAAAAGGAAGCTGCAGAAGACATGCCTGTAGAATCTGAAGGAGAAGAGGAAGATGCAGAAGAACTGCCTGTAGAGTCTACTGAATGTGACAAAGAGAATGCTGGAGATGATACACAAGTTGCTCCCCAGTCTATTGAAGGTGACACTGTAAATGCTTCGAATGGAGGAGACTCAGCCAAGACCACCAAGAGAACAAGGGGCAAGACCAGGATGCGTAAACTGGCTAAAGACGAGGATGCCAAGCTTGAGGTGGATTTTTCATGTCTTGGTGAACATTCTGGAGCTGGCTCAACTACACTTTCATCGTTTCTTGGTGTTTTGGTGAAAGAGCATGTTTCTGTACTACTCAATGACTGGAGAAAACTCGATCAACAAACAAAGGACATAATGTGGGAGGAAATTCAGGTATAGTGTATTATAAGTATATGTCTAATTATCCAAAAAAGGTACTGTCATTTAACCTCACAATTGTTGTAGGGGAGGTTTAAAGTACAGGAAGAGTGGCAAAAATATTCTCTTTTTAAGCAGATGAATTGTATATGGAGGTCAGCTAAATCTATTCTTGTGGGCGAAGTTCGAGCTGCGAGCAGTCACGCAGAACGATTAGCGCTTAAACCAAGCAACATCCCATCTGTAACCCAATGGAATAAATGGGTGAAGAGCAAGCTTAGTACAAAATCTAAGGTGCAGTCTTGATTTTTTGTTTGTTTATGTCTTTGATACATGTATTTTCTATACATATATAGTAAATGTGGATATCGTTGTGGATTAATTTTGCAGGAGAAAAGTGAAATAATGAGGAAGCTGAGAAATTCTCAGATTCCACAGACAACTAGCCGCAAAGGAATGTTTCGTCTGGGAGAAGAGATGGTAAATTCTGTTTCTCTTTAGTTATATAAGAAGCATAAGTCATGTTACTCATATTAGGACTGCTTGTAGAAAAAGAAGAGTTCAGACCCTTCTAAGGTTACTAGAAGTAAGATATGGATAGAAGGACATACTCATAAGGATGGAAGACCTGTGAAGCCTGAATTACATGTGATGGCTGATGCAATGAATAGAGAAATCCAATGGCCACTTACTAAGATGAAACGCATCAGTCAGAATGCAGAGGTGCCTTCAGTGAGAAACTCGCCTGGGGTAAGTATTGATGTTGCTATGATTTGTTTTTCATTTTAATGATGAATTTCTGATGACTGTGTTATGATTGTGTTATTGATGTGGTAGAATGGAAGTTCAAACTCTGGTTCCAGCAATGGGAAAAACAAGAAGTGCTTCCTCTTGGATTGCAAAAATCCTGGAAAAACTGTTGCAGAGGGCCGAGTGTGTTCAACTGATCCTGCAGACAAAGTCCATAACAGACCCTTAGGACCAAATGCTACGAAGGTCTGGGTTGTTGTTTCATTGATTGATAATGCTAAAGTGTGGAGGCCTTCCTCAGAAGTGCAAATCATAGCAGATGCACAAGGCACAACCGTTGCTTGGCCTAATGACAAGATAGTCTATCTCTGAACAATTTGTGTTTTGTCCTTTATGTCGAACAATTTGTTGTTTCAAGTGTCGAACAATTTGTTGTTTTAAGTGTCCAACAATTTGTTGTTTCAACTGTCAAACACTTTGTGTTTTCTTTTATTACATGCACTTGACTTTGTTTTCTCATGTTACTAATTATATGTTATCTCTTGGCAAACATATATTAAAAACAAAAACACATATTTAAAACATTTTAATTGGAAATGATTTTAAAGATTTTAAAGATTTTTTAAATGATTTTCGAATTTTATAAAAAAAAGTTAAAAAATAAAAGTAAATAAAAACAAATATAACCCAATAGCTCAAAAAGACATAAATATTTAATTATAATATTTAGGGTATAGGGTTTAGGGTTTAGGGTATGAAATGTATGGTTTAGGTTTTTGGATTATATTTGTTTCAAATAGTAATAATATTAATTATAACAAATGATAACATAAATAATATTCATTTTTTAAAATAGTTTAGGGTATAGGGTATAGGGTTTAGGGTTTAGGGTTTAGGGTTTTAAATAGTAGCTAATATTAATGATATAAAGTATACTATTATAACAGAAATGAATTCAATCATTTTTTTAATTATAACATCATTAATGTATTTCAACAATATGATTTACACAATAAAAAGGTTAGTGTGCATGTATTATAAGGGAATCATATGTGTTACCTTCAAATTTCTAAAAACATTGCAAAATATTTTTTTTAAATTGCGAAAAAATTATCTAATCATGTAAATAAATCATAAACATATTAATTCATCAATATATAATTTTTTAAAATTATATAAATTGTAAAAACACATTTTTATGTCTATAAACAAAATAAGCCAATCATAATGTTTCACTCGGATTGCTGATGTGGCGAGATCTCAGCCATTTATCTGATCTAATACCTGATCAATTTACTCTATCCAATCATAATGTTTCACTCGGATACATGACGTGGCGACATCTCAGCCTTTCAAATGCTTTGGCGGCTGCATGTTTAAGGTAATCTCATCCGTTCATCGCCCAACCCTTTCTTCCTTTAATCTCATCCGTTCATCGCTCTGGGGCGAGATTCTCTTCAACCCTTTCTTCCTTTCCTCGACTGAGAACAAAATTCACAACAAAATTGATTCAGATTAGGTCTTCTCTTCGCTGATTCAGAAAAAAATTCTCTCATCCTACTTCTTCAAACCTCAAATTCATTGCCATGTCTGACTCGAATATGAGAGAACCAAAGCAGAAGACGAAGAATAAGAATGGTCTGTCGAATCTAACAAATTGTTTATGTGTTTCTTTTGATACCATTATAAGAGTTTTGTTCAACTGAATCTAACACTTGTTTATTTGTTTGACAGTAAAAACCCTAGCTTTCTCACCTTCTCTTCCTGAGACAAACATCAACAGATATCACCTTCTCGATAGAGTTATATGCTTCTCCCTTTTTCCTCATATCTCGCTTTATCGATTCTTAAATTGATTAATACTGCTATTGTTTAGACATGAAAATGGTGATTTTAATTAGCCTGAGTAGTCAAATTAACAACATTTATTTGAACTCCAGATTAGTTTGAGCTTGATTCTTATTTGGAATCCAGATTAGTTTGAGCTTTATTCTTATTTGGAATCCAGATTTGTTGATTTTTAAACATCCGAAATTGAATGAATCGGTAGATTGTTAAGTCTTTTTGTTTGTTTGTCCTTTCCAATTGAAGTGAGTATTAGAAAGGTTGAGACTTTAGACCAATCTGCTTCAGCTTTGTTTGAGATGTGTGGTTTTTTATTAAAAGTGTTGGTTTTTCGTGATGTTGCAGACACCAGAGACTGGGATTAAGACAAAGGAGGTAAAAGAAGACAAGGATTAGGTTTTAATTCAATTTTTCCTTAATCAAAGTTAGTTTATAGCTTGAAGCAACTGTCTTGTTTGTAATGATCTCTGGTTTATGTAGTCTTATGAGGTGAATTCGAGAGGAGTTGAGATCTTCTCCAAAAGCTGGCTTCCTGAAGCTTCTAGGCCTAGAGCTTTGGTTTGTTTCTGCCATGGTTATGGAGATACTTGCACGTTTTTCTTCGAAGGCATGTTTGTTTATTTTTCATAAATAGCAAATGGTTTGTATGTTAAAATGAGGCTTGTTTGATTGCTAACTAGCTTGATTTTGCAGGAATTGCAAGAAGATTGGCATTGTCGGGATATGGAGTTTTTGCTATGGATCCGGAAACAAAAAGTCTCAAAGTCGTTTCACCATTTTGTGAATTTACGATGTTTCGGTTTACAATGGAAGTGGAGGAAAACTATAATGGAAGTGGAAAGGTGTAGAGGCTAAAGAGACAAATTTTATGTATTTTCTTATTTTATTTTTTGTTAATAAACAAATTTTATGTATTTTCTTATTTATTTTTTTGTAAAAAAATGAGTATAAAAATACGTATAAAAATACTCTTTTGTACAATGCATCATTTGTATAAAATGTATAATTTTATATGTACAAAATACTGTATATACCTTTTAAAATCTTGTATATACGTATCGGAAATTATACGTATATTATACTTCTACAAATATACGTATAAAAATTTACGTATTTTACTTCTACAAAAACGCTATCTATACAAAATTATACGTATTTAATACTTTCATACGAATGCTATCTATATAAAACTATACGTAAGAAAACGCTATCTATAACCATATATTAACTGCTATTGTAATTCATAATAGAATAATTAACTATATATATAGCAAACAACAACCGCTATTGTAAACTTAAATATTGCGTTTACAAAACCGCTATGTATTAAAAATATACCATAGCATAAGAAACAACCGCTATATAAAGTATCAGACCTATTATAACGGGCGGAGATACAGCGTTTCTAATAACGCTATATGTGGATGTCGGATTCACACACTCAAGTATTTTATTAAGTAGGAAAGATTATTCTTGAGGGACAAAAAATGAATATGTAAAAAGCTTATGAATTGCTACAAAAATTGCTATATATTTCTTTCTTGAGAAGAAGATCCCCTTTTACATGGCCATTAGCCTTCATATTTATACATAGAGAATTGACATTAAAATGAATAATTAAGTACAATTATTCCCTCTTAAATGCGTCCGTTTTGATTCTTCGACTTTAATGCTCAACGTTTGAATTTGAGTTGACTCTGATCTTCTTGGGCCTCGCCTTCTCGGCCCAAGTCTCCTCGAACTGACTTACCCGTGTCCTCTACACCGAACTCGTACCACAGTGCAGTCACTTCGGATTCTCGAAGTGGTGATAACCATTTCGACCGTTCCTTTGGCTCATGGGCTCAACGGGTTTTGCCCTTTATGGGCCATTATCTTGACTACGTGGCAATCTTTGGTTGGTCTCGTACTTCTGGTGCGGGATCCGACACCAACAATTAGCCCCCCAAGTTCTTCGAAGTGCTATTCCAATTCGGAGGACTTTAAATGCTCAAGTGGCCAAAGATTGCGCTCGAGAATCTTTCTGATTTTCCGCCGAAAATCTCATCACTCCTTTAATTTCGGCACTAGCCATTTTTAACCGAGTGACATCTGTCATCATTATGACCGTATATTGATTAATTACTATTAAAACGGGAAAAACCTTCCCACGTCCCACACGACTTCCGAGGCGGTTTCATCATTAGCTTGAGGTAACTTCTTTTCACCATTACTCTCTTCTTTTACTTTTGTGCTTTAATCAAAAACTCTCTCTACTTTCCTTCACAAAAACCTCTCTTCGCCGGATCTTGAATTTTCCTTTCTTCCCAATGACTTCCGATTCCGATAGACCCGAATCTCCGTCTTTTGATGAGAGGCGTTCTAGCAATGACGAGTGCACCCGCCCTAACGATATTGCCGGTCCGCACTATAGATCCACCTGCACCCTTCAGTCCCTTGAACGATTGAAAGAGCTCTGCCGAATCCCACCGGGAATTATAGCAGAGGCGCAGATAGCTGATCCTACGGAGTCCCCAGAAAACCATCGCGACGGCTATTTCTGTGTATACGAGATCTATTTTAAGGGTTGCGGGCTGACCTTTCCTCTTCCCGAAGCCCTAGTTCTATACCTAGCGGCTCTTGAAATCGCTCTTCCTCAATTAACTCCCAACCTTCTCCGTACTATTCTTGGAATTATAACAATCGCGCCGGAGGCCGGTTACGTTGTCGGAGTTACTGAACTAAATGAGCTTCTAAGCGTGAGAAGTTCATCGAAGAAAACGGGGTATTTCTCAGCATATCCTAATGCCAACAGGAACATCATTTCGCATCTTCCGAACAAGGATGAAAATTGGCATCATTCTTGGTTTCTGATTAAGAAAACTCCCGCTTCGATTGGAAATCTTGCAGATTTTCTCCCTTCGAAGTGGTCCGCAAAACCCGGTAGAGATTAGGTCGCCCGTGTCTTTCCCAGTTGTTTCTTTATCTTTATTGACTAACACCGTTGTTTCATTTCGCAGCTTTCGTCGCTTCCACTCTCCCATCTGAAGAATTCATCGAATTCTTCAAAATAATTCTTGAAGGGGAAACCCTTTGGAATTCTTTCACTCTTGAACGATTCCTAGAAGCTAACCACAGACTCAGGATGAGTCCACCTGGTCATCTTCACCAAATTCCGCCTCCTCCCTCAATTCAGGGGATGTCATCTCGGGCTCTTGCGGCCAAGCGTAAGATGCTTTCCAAGCCGATGGCTGAGGCTTGCGAGGAGAAGAAAAAGTTTCTCGCGACTTCTATAGACAAGAGGGACTACAGTAGGACCCTGCTGGTTGATGATGGCAGCGCCGAAGGGGCCAGATCCGTTGCTTCTTTCAGATTAACTCCTCGTCGCGGACGTCATGATTCACATTCTCCTCGGAGGGACCGATCTCCTCGCCGTGATTTACCTCGTCCTCCCCGAGATGATTTTAGCAACGAACCAATTAAGAACTTGGTTCGCCGGAAGAGAGACAAGTCCTCTTGCAGTGATTCTTCCCCGCAAAGGGAAAAGTCAAGGGCCCGGACTGATAGTTCACCTCGATCATCTCCTCCTACGGAACCAATGGGTCCTCCACGACCGGTTGATATGTCTTCCTCTTCCCAGCCTGATAGTGGAAAGACTGCCCGGAGCGCATCTCCAAAAAAGGGAGATTCTGAACCTCGAGATGCTTCTTCGGGGTTAAAACCTGC